TTGACTGAGCCACCCAGAGGCCCCCCCCCCCACATGTATTTATTGAATCAGGCAATATTCCTGGCATAGGAGATGCAGGAGGAAATAATACAGACAAATATCTCTGCCTTCGTGAAGCCCACCTTCTACTGGAGAGAAACAGATGTTAACAGATTAATACACAGGACACCATCACGTCCGCTGGTGATGATGGTTATAGAGCAACATACAACAGGGGAAAGGATGAGAAAGAGAGAGAGAGAGACACCAAGAGAGACAGAGGCAGAGGTGAGAGAAATAGGGACACTCAGGGACTGGGAGGTAGGGAGAGACAAAGGGAGAAACAGATACCAAGAGACAGAAGATGAGATATGAAGGGACATGAGAGGCCAATACAAGCACAGACAGGGCAAGATGAGAGAGAGTTGAGAGTTGACAGAGAGACCCAGAGAGCCATATACTCAGGCACAGAGCTTGGGAGACCGCCTGGTCCCCAGCTGTGCCCATCCTGGCTCTGGTTCCCCCCCCCCCCCCAGGCCCCCTAGCAGCTCTGACCCTTGTTTTGTGACACCCTTCTATCTTTCTAGACAATTTCCCTTTTGGGCTTTGGCCAGTTTGGAGGGTTTTGTCTCCCACTGACCTCTTTGGCTTGGACCCGGTGCCCACCCATGGCGCGTGGATGTGGGCAGGTGCCTCTGGCTCTGGTGTCTCTCACCCTGGCTTGTAGGTGAATTTCTGAATGGGAACATGGAGGCTAGTCTCTGGGAAATCTCTGAATTTTCTGGCACCCTTGTTCGGGGGTGCTGAGTTGTCTCTGAACCTGGAACCTGTGGTTGCCGCTACATTCCTCCTCCGGACCATGCTGTCACCCTCTGGGGTTCCCCCTCCTCCAGGGCTCCCCCGGCCACTGTGGCTCCAGCAGCCGCCCCTCTCAGAGGTCTGGCTGGTCAGAGGCTGCCCCCTCCTCCGCGGATGGGAGGTTCAGATTTGGGGCCCGCCTCATCCCATACCTTCCTTCTTCCCCGCCGCAGGACATCTGACTTCTCTTTGACAGGCATGGAGCCTCTGTCTCAAAATAAGCCGTAAGAGCCCTGATCCTAAACCATGTCATGTAAAGAGAATGATGCTCAGTCACTGAAGCTTAAAAGTGGGGTCAAGGCAGAGCTGAGAGTTCGGGATGAGGTGAAGGTTAGGGATAGAGTCAGAGACGAGGTCAAGAAGGGGAAGGGTCTCAGGGATGGGGTCCGTGGGAGGGGGAGGGCCTTTGGGGGCTGGTTTTCCTGTCCCTCCCCCTGCCAAAAAAAAAAAAAAAGGGTCAATAAATACTTGGGAAGGCCCAAAGCGCCATGCTGTCAAAATCGCCGAATTAAATAAAATATCTTGTCTCAGGTCCGGATGAACCCAGGTGAGGATGTGATGGGGGGAGATTGTTGCCACGTGGAATGGGTGCGTTGAGACAAGAGACAGCCCCTCCCATGACCCCTCCCCACCTCTGAGCCCTGAAGGTGGTCTGGGGTCTCCTTGGAACCCCTCTCCTTGAGTCCTTCCCTTGTGTGAAGACACCATCAGTTTTGAACCCGTCCTCAGCGCCCGGGCCTTGTGGGTGTTTCTAGTGCTTTGCCCAAGCCGAGGGTGCTGTCCTGGGCAACCCAGTCCACGCCATTTCCCGCCTGCGTGGTGGAGTCAGTTCCTTGCTTTCCTAGAAGTGAGTTTGTTGGGTCAAAGGGCATGCGCATTTGTGGTTTTGGGAGATGCAGCCCAAATCATTACCAGTGAAAATCTTGCCAGTGAAGGAGAGCCTGGCGGTGAAATGCTTACTATCCAGGGACCCCCCCCTGGCGGTGACCTGGAGCTTCTAAACTTTCTGATGTGAAGCTTTGTCCTGAAGGGTCTGATGTAGGAACCTGGAGGCTGGGTGGGAGGGAGGGGGCAGAACGG